ATTTTACCACGGCCAAAATCCAGACCACTGAGGCACATCGGGGGGTCGGTGTGCAGCCTCCGGGACTCTGGCTCCTTGTGTGGGAGCCAGCTCCCGGCGGCCCCTTTGGAAGTCAGTCTGGCAGCGTCCTATGAAGCCAAACGCCCTGCCCTGGCCACAGGCTCCAGCAGTGATGCCCGTTGGGGTTCAGGGAGCTGAAAACAGGTCACACAGATGTGAACAGAGGCTTGATTCTTAAGGGACAAAACCTGGGAGCACCGAGACGCCCTGCACGAGGTGACCAGATAACCTGTGACACACACAGACAGTGGGACGCTACTTGACACCAAAAAGCTACAAAAAAGCCTAGAAAGTCCTTAAGCGCACAGCAGGAAGGGGGAAAGCCCACCAAAGGCTGCATCCCGTGTGGTTCCGACTGCGTGATGATCTGGAGAAGGCTGCACTTGGAGGCAGCAGGGAGGCCAGGAGGAAGGAGGCACAGGACAGCACGGGGCACTTCCCGGCAGCACGGGGCACTTCCCGGCAGCACGGGGCACTTCCCGGCAGCACGGCTCTCTCTCTGATGCTGCGAAGGACACGTGGTGCTGGGCACTTGCCCAAGCCCAGAGGACATAGGATGTGAGCCCTTCGTGGACTGTGGACTCCGTGGGCCAGGGTATCATTGCTGCCCAGTGACTGTGACCTATGTCACTCAACTGCAGATACCGGTGGCCGGCACTGAGTCCCCTGTGGGGAGGCAAACTGTGGGAACGCCCTGAACTTTCACTGTAAATCTAAAAAATGAAGTCTATCAATTTAAATAAATTCACAGATATGAATTTTAGTGCTGGGACGAGCAACTAAAATCAGAGCTAGAAGGTGTGGCCAGAACCCCAACCCAAGGAAGGGAATGGAATACGGAAAACTGCTCATCAACACACGGGAGAGCCCAGGCGCAGCCAAGAGGTGACACCTGAGGGGGACAAAAACGCCTAAGGACACAGTAGCCCTGACGACCTGCCAAGGGACGCGGGAGAAGCAGTACCAGGATTACGTGAGCTCTTTTAGGAAGTCGAGAAGGACACCACCCCCAGCGTCTTATGAGGCCCCATATCTCCAATATCGAAATGGGGCAGAAAAATAGGGTTACAAACCCATACCCCCTTAAACACAGACATGGCCAAATCCCCAAGAGATGAGGCAGGCAGGGCAAGCAAGCGTGGACCAGACAGCCAGCTCCCCGGGGAAGAGGGCTGCACCCCCCAGGGTTTCCCTGGGGGAGTTCCTGGAAATACAGGTGTGTGTACCCCGGGAAAGCAGAGAGTTTTAATATCTGAAAATCAAACCATATGATCAACTCACTGCATCAATAGAATGAAGGAGAAAACCAGTGACCATCCCAGTGGACGCAGAAAGAACGTACAAACAGAGTCCAACACCTGCAATGACAAAGACCACTAGCCAACCAGGGCGGAAGGACACGTCCTCAGCATCTGAACACGTGCAGAGAACCGGAGTCGAGGAACACTCCCAGTTGGCGAGAGGACCGGAGGCCAACGCCGTTCGTCAGGGTGGAGGACAAGTGCAGCCCCAGGAAGGCAGCAGGCAGGTGTCTGCTCTCACGGCCCCGAGTCACTGGCGTCTGGGCAGGAGCCACAGTCAACAAGAAACACACGCCGCGAAGATTGGAATGCAAGGATGACAACTGCCGTTGTTTCCAGAAGATAAGGTTGTCTCCATGGGAAACCCAGGAGTCTCTAGAACACCACTAGAGCTCACAGGAATCAGGCAAAGATCACAAGACTATGTGAATATGCACGTCTATTCTACTTTCATAATCTGGCAGCAATAGTGGAAAATTGACAAGATCCCATCTACAATAAAACCAGAAAGCAGATAATTCTTGGGAATAACTTTAATGAAGGATATACAAGACAACTATCCTAAAATCAGAAAGCTGGGAGAAGCGAAATAAGACCAGACGAGGGAGGTGGCACTGTGCTCATGAACTGGGGGTCTCTAGGATGCTGTCACCCCAAACCCAGGCACGTTGCAGGTCATGGGTGGCAAAGCCACAGAGCACCCTCACTCCCCCAGAAGTCGATGAGAGTGTTCTGACTTCAGAGTGAACAGAAAAGGGTCCATTTAACCCAAAGCAACAGAAAAGAGAGACAAATGTACTAGACTTACAGCAGCCCAGAGATGGAGCCAACGTGGAACTGGTGAATGGAGGAGACGGGACACAGGGTCCCCAAAGAGACCCACCCAGGAGAGACCACCAGTTTTCACAAAGGTGCCGGAGGTATTCAACAGGACAGGGAAATCTCTTAGCAAGTGGTGTGTTAACACCGGATATACCCGGGGGAGAAGGAATGAGACCCCTATTCACAACACACTCAAGTGACTTGAAGTGATTACGGATTAAAATACAACAGCCTATAACTCTAAGTCTTCTAAAAATGTGCTTGGGGTAGAAAAAGTGGTTTGAGAGAAGTTGCATCTTCTAAGCATAAAAGAAAAACATGTCGACCAATTAAAATCCTCTGCTTATCCAGTGACCTCATTAAGAACAAGGAAAAGGCAAGTCAGAAACTAGGAAAAATAGGTGCTATTTATGTATGTCTGACAAACGAATCATAACCAGAGCTTCCACAAACCAGTGATGAAAAGTGTTACAAAAAAGGAGCCAAGTATTTACAACAGACACTTCACAAATAAGACCTCTGAATGGCCAATAACCCTAAAAAATCATGCTCAAAATCATTAAGTCATTTGGGGAAAGCAAATTAAAATGCAACAAGGTATTAATCTTGCACCTACTGAAAGATTGTTGCTTTTTTTTTTTTTGGTATGGGGGATTGAACTCAGGGGCGCTTGACCACTAAGCCACATCCCCAGCCCTATTTTGTATTTTATTTAGAGAGAGGCTCTCACTGAGTTGCTTAGCACCTCACCGTTGCTGAGGCTGGATTTGAACTCGCGATCCTCCTGCCTCAGCCTTCAGAGCCACTGGGATTACAGGCATGTGTCAAACTGTCCCCAGCTAATATATATATTAGTCGTCGATAGGACTTTATCTATTTATTTATATGTGGTGCTGAGAATTGAACCCAGTGCCTCACACATGCTAGGCAAGTGCTCCCTCTGAGCTACAGCCCAGCCCCCTACTGGAAGTTTTAAATTAAAAAACCGAGATATCCTGTGTTGAGGGTTGCAGAACAGCATCCTCACTCAGGTACTGCTGGTGGGACATGAAGTGGTACAGCCATTTGGGAAACAGTCTGGCAGTTTCTTATGAGGTTGGACACATCCTTGCCCTATGCACCCGCAGTCTCACTCCTAGGTAGCACCCAAGATCAAGGGCGTCCACAGTGAGGCTTGTAAGGTGAGTCTGGCAGTAGAACCCAAATGGACGTGACTGGAAGGTCCATCCACACGAGAATGAGCAATTCGAATGGATGAATTAACACCATGATGCTAGGCAAAGACTCCAGACCCCAACACCAGAGTGCACCCATGGGAGGGTTCCACGTCTGCAAGTTCAAGAGCATCAGAACCACCTGTGGTGACAGGCCAGGAGGGAGGAGTCTGGGGTGATGTGGACTGACTTGGGGAGGTTCGGGGAAGCTTTCTAGGGTGATGTGTTGTGCTGTCTTGACTGGGGTGGTGGCTACGTGCATCACCCTGGGACCTAGGCATGTCACTTCAGCTGGACAGGATGCACGTGTGGGCATCCCACCTGGACCTCAAGAATGACCAGGGGCAGAGAGAACAGCTGGACTATGGGTGGATTGAAGTTTGGATGTCATCATTGTCACCAGACTGAGACACCAATTCCAGGAACCCTGGCTGCTGGGTGCCACCCACATCTTGGCAGCAGTGTGCTGAGAGTGCCGTCTTTGCTGGCTAGACCACCCTAAGGGAAGTGAAAACACACAATTCCAGAAATGGCTGTTTTCATTGTGTACACTGCACCCCATTTGTTTTAAAAATAATGCAAGCATGGATGACTAAGTATATGCTTATGAAGCTTCCAGGCTTCAAAGCTTTGGAACGACATTGGTCTAAATATAGAAAACATTATTAAGAAACATTATTATTTCTCATAAACAACACATCTGTGCTCAAATCCAAGCCTTAACTTGACTTTCAAGCGAAAACAGCCCACACTGCATGTGTTGGTTGAGACCCTAGCAAGCTCCTCCCTATTAAAATCCTGCAATTCCAGAGAGACATAATTTTAGCCATTCAATAATGCCCCCTGGGTCACCTGAAATGATAGCCACCATTTATTAGCACTTACCAAGTGGCAGGCCCTTGCTAAGCATTTTGCATAAATTACTTCATTTGTCCTCTTAAGAACACACAGTGAGTGTATTATGATTCCTATTTTACAAGGGAGATTGAAACTCCGAGCAGAGAAGTCGCTTTCCTGAGGCCGTTCCATCCAGCTGATGAAGCCACGAGCCTCTGGGGGCACCCTTTGCTCTTCCATCCCCTTTCCAAGTCTAAGCTCTACTTTGGCTTCCTCAAAAGCCGACCTGGAGACAGGCAGCTGGGAAGTGAGTGTATCTGGAGGCACCCCCAGGAAGCCCTGGGAGGGGTGGGCACTGGGACAAGGAGGGAAGAGACCCAGGAGGCAGTGAACGCACAGGTGACAGCCCATTGCTCCAGGGTTCCTCTGAGCACCTGCACAGATGACATCAGAGAACCGTACCCCTCGAGATGGGAGACCAAGTGTTTGTCCATCAGCTCCTCCCCCTGGGGACATCTGTGTAGGGGCAGTAACTGCCCAGACTTCTGGTTTGTCCTGAGGAAGTCATCAGCAGGGGACTCGGGTGGAGGAGGGAGCCACAGGGGGATATGGGGACTGTCTCCCCAAGCTCAGGGACCTCAGGATGGGATCAACAGCATCTTGAATGCCAGCTGTGAGCCTCCAGCCCTTCCCTTCTCTGTGGCTGGACTTGAAAAAAATTGATATCTTACTTAACCCAATACATCTCAAAACATTTCATTTTCAGCGTGTACTGTTCGCACAAAGATCTGCACACTAATGTCCACAGCAGCGTCATTCACAATGGCTCCCCATGGAAACAGCCCAAATGCCCATCAGCTGAAGAGTGACGAGGACCAAGTGACACAGCCGCTATGAAGCATCCGTCAGCCATAAACGGGAAGGGAAGACGCTGCAGGCGCTACTCGATGAGCCTTGAAAACACCAGGCGTGGGAGGAGCTGCCACAGAGGGCCCAGCTTGCAGCTTGTGCTGGACGGAATGTGCAGAAGAGGAAATCCAGAGATGGCAGTGGGGGCGGGGGAACTGGGGCAAAGGTGACGGGCGTCGCTGTTAATGGGTGGAGGCCTTCTTTTAGAGGTGATGGAAAAAAGTGAATATACTAAAAACTACTGAGTACGTACAAAGGTGGCTTCTCTGTTATGCAGATCATGTCTAAGAAATAAAAAACCAGAGTCAACAATCATGGCGTATCTCCACCCTTTTTTTATGCTAAGTCTTCAAAGCTCAGTGTGTTCTACACTCAGAGAGCCTGTGGGGCCCTCCTGGCCGAATGTCCAGACGGGCAGCTCTGGCCTTCCATTGCTTCCCCCCCAGACCCCTTCACATACAGTGTTTTGAGCCCCAGAGGTCCTGAGCCTCCCTTTGGGCATCCACAGCCAGGTCTGTTTCCTGAACCGTTGGGAGCAGGCCTGGGTGAGTCTCGCTGCCCAATGGTGCCAGCAGCACACACAGTAAGATCAGATGGGTCCCCTGGCATAGCTTTGCCGGGTCTTGACCACCTTAAAATCTGGGCATCTGCAGAACAGTGGGAGCCCTCTCCCTGAGGAAGAGACACAGGTGTGTGGCTGGGGGCAGGCTGCCCGGCCCTGCTGGAATTCTGAGCAGTGTCCAATGTGGAGCCTGCCAGCTGTCCCCCCCCACCGGCTGCCCGTCACCTGTGACTTATGGGAGCACTGGCGTGTACTCTGTCGGCATCTGCATCTTGATGTGTCTTGGTGGCTTGCCTTTCATTGTCCTTTGGAAGCAGTGTCAACAGAACATGTGAGTCTGGGGGTCACCTGCCCTGCCCTCGGGGGCTCCATGGGGTGTCCTCACTGACTGGGCCAGATGCAGGGTCTGGAGACGGGTGGCTGGGCAGGGTGTTGTGACAAGAGGCCCTATCCTGAGTCGATGGCAGTCACGGAAATGGAGGACAAACAGAGCCCACGTCCCACCACAGGCCTGTGTCTGGCTCTGAAGCTGAAGGCTCTGTCCCCAGGTAGGGCATGACTCAATGGCTGACAGCTACAGCTCCCCGAGAGCACCGTTAGTGCACTAGCCTTCCCGAGGAACACAGAGGCATGGCGAGCTCTGTGGCTTTCGAAAGCGGAGCACGCCTTGTCATCCAGCAGGCACATCCGGTCAAGTGCAGGAGCGGGGCCTTGGTGCAGTGAGACAGTGGACACTGCGAGGTCAAGTGCAGGAGCGGGGCCTTGGTGCAGTGAGACAGTGGACACTGCGAGGTCAAGTGCAGGAGCGGGGCCTTGGTGCAGTGAGACAGTGGACACTGCGGGGCTGGCATCGCCTGCCTGGTGCTCAGGGGCTTCAGGCAGGGTGGACCCCTCCTGCAGGGGCTGAGGTCCTGGCGGTTAATTAGCCAGCGATTGTTTCTGTGACAGGCATCTGTCCCGAGAGCCCTGGGCAGGCTGAGGGCAAGCAGCAGGCACACGGAGACAGGCCACAGCTGTAATCCCACCTTTTACAATTTGAAAACACCCCTATTTGAGTTTGAACTGCTTCAATCAAATAAAAATGATGATTCAAAGGCTTTCAAAAGAATCAGGAGCCCTGCTGTAAAAAGATGCATAGAAGTGTGCCCTGTGGTTTTGTAGTTTCTGTGAATTTTATTTCATTCACAAAAGGGAAAAGTAGTCTAGCCACAGGATTATCTTCCAGGACAAGGCAAGCGGGATATTTTTCCTAATTGTATTTCATGTTTTAGACAAGGCATCACTGCTGCCCAGGCTGCCCCCAGCGCGTGGACTCAGGGGTCTCTGCCTCAGCTTCCCGAGCAGCTGGGACAGCCAGTGTTTGCTGCTGTAAAAGGACATTTCTCTAGAAGAAGCCTTTGGCAGACAGAAGGGTCGTGTTTAGGAAGGTCCTCACGTTTGTTCTCGGCTGGAGACATGGGGCTGCTGTGGCCCCTGTGGCCTGCGGTGGGCCTGGCTCAGGCTGGCCTCTCCTTTTCTCTTAAAAGGCCTGCTCCTGAACTGCTCTCCTCTTAACTGATTCCTGAAAACCTAGTGGCAAAACAGCCAAGCACTGGGCATCTCTGCCTGGCACAGCCCTGCAGGGCCAGCCCGGGTCCTCGCTGAAGGGAACGCAGATCTGCTGAGGACAGGACTGCAGGGAGGGCTGGTGCAGGCAGCGTGGAGCTGGGCCTCGGCAGCCAGGCCAGTCCAGAACCAGAACCCTGCTTCCTCTCCTGGGGCTCTCTTTATTGCCACTGTAATGTGGCTGGTTGGTTCAAGGACAAAGGGGGTTGCTCAGGCCCAACTCAGGCCTGCGTGGCCAGGACCTTGGGCAAAGGCACAAAGCTCCGGGAAGCAAGGCCAGATGGAAGGGAGGTGGAAGGTCATGACCAAGAATGAGCTCCAAAACGAAAAGGTATTTTCCAAATGTACCCATCACGTGCCCTTTCCTGGCTGGTCTCAGGAAAGCCCAGGCCATGGGGGTCCACAGAACATCTACTCTGTCCCCTAAGAAAGCCTGGAATATGGACACAGAGGAAGAGAAGAGGCCCCGGACACCCAGAGCTGAGAGTGTCAGTCTGACCAGGAATGTGAGCAAGGAAAGGGTGCGGACCTCGAGGGAGGTGTTGGCCGTGCTGGGGAAGCAGGGCGCCTTTGGAGGCTGGGAGGCTTCTTGGGCAGAGTAATGTGGTACCAGCTCTGAGCTGGGCCCGAGGGACACGGCAGACCCAGGGCCAGCACGGGCTCTCCCAGGGCTGCTTATCTCTGGAGAGCAAAGTCCTGTGCTGTCCTGCAGGAATGCACGCAGCCCCTGGCCTCTTGAAGGCCACAGCGCATGCTGCCCCACAGGCCACTCAGCGTCCGCTCAGCCTGTGAGGGCCTGGGAACTCCCAAGGAGGCCCCAGGCCAGCCTCGAGAGCGGCCCCCTCCCGCTCTTTGCAGAGTGCAATCCTGGAGACGCCACAGGAGTTTTCTGCTTTTCGTCTCCTCTTGGCATGTTTGGGAGAGACGTCCCCTCTGTTCCTTCTCTGCAGACACCATGCCGCTCAGATGTCAACACAGCCCTTGTGCTTTACAGTTCAGTGTGTTCCCCAAACTTCTCGGGGGCTCTGGGGATCCCGGGCCTGGGGGGCTGCTGCAGGCACAGGTGACTCACAGGCACATGGCCACCAGGCCTTTGGCAGAGCCTCCGTGGGGGTGCTCAGCCCTCAGGCTGCTGGTCCTCTTTACGATGGGCTCCAGCTTCGTTAAGTCCTTTTCCTTGAAGAGCCCACCGTCTTCCACTGGACCAGGTTGCCCTAAAGCTACTCAAAATTCCCTCTTTCTTGTAAGTATCTGAGCACTGCTGCCACCTCCCCTGGTCTCCCTCCGCTCGGGCTGGCCTGTCTCGTTTCTTCATTCTGCTGGTCTTTGCTGTCCGTCCCTCTGCTCTGGACCAGACGGATCCTGGCGTCCTTCTCAGGTGACTCCTGTCTGGTGTCTCAGCCCGGCCCTCCTCTCGGGCTGCTGCCTCCTGGCGGTTCTGGCTCTCTTCCCGCCTGCCCCCAAGCTGCCAGCTGCCAGCACCACATGCCAGCTGAAAGGCAGCACCAGGCTCCCTCTCCGTGTGCTCCTCGCCTCACCATGCCCAGCAGCCCTGCGGATCCCCAGGCGGGCTTCCTCCTCCCTGGGCCTGCTCCACCTCAGGTGGAGGCTTTCGGGGCTTGGGGTGGACTCAGATGCTTCTCAGAGTCCTCCACTCAGTCAGGAAAGCACTCTGCCCTTCCTCAGAGCACCCCAGAGCCTGCTGTCCAGCGAGCCCAGGCATGGTCCTCCCACAGGACAGAGAGAGAGGCCTCCTAGGCCTCAGGGTCGCTCTGCTGCCTCCTCTGCTGCCTGCCTCCCTTCTCCTTAGGGAGCACAGCAGACATGCACACGCCAGGACATGCACACGCCAGGACATGCACACGCCAGGACGAGGCACACGCCAGGACGAGGCACACGCCAGGACGAGGCACACGCCAGGACATGCACACGCCAGGACATGCACACGCCAGGACATGCACATGCCAGGACGAGGCACACGCCAGGACATGCACACGCCAGGACGAGGCACACGCCAGGACATGCACACACCAGGACATGCACACGCCAGGACATGCACACGCCAGGACATGCACACGCCAGGACGAGGCACACGCCAGGACGAGGCACACGCCAGGACATGCACACGCCAGTGATCCCCGCCCCTAGGAAGCCGAGGCAGCAGGATGGCAAGACCCAGGCTCAAAGTAAAAGGGCAAGGGCTGGGCCCCTCGCACCCCTGGATAAATAAATACAGGGCTGGGATGGAGCTCAGTGGTAGGTGCCCCTGGGTTCAAACCAAAGGGCAACAAAACCCCAGAGAACAAACATGGCGAGGAGATGCGACGCTGGGGCTTCTGCCTGAGACGGGGAGTCTGGGAGGGCTTTTGCCTCCACACAGGTGCACATGGGGGCCTCGAGACGGGAGGTAAAGAGAACCGGCCCCTCAGCACTCAGCTGGCCAAAGGGAGACGTGCCGTCCCACAGACGCAGCGTGGGGCTGCAGGGTGGTGTCCTCGCAGAGTGGCCTGGTCACATCAAGCACTCTGAGAGTCGGGGACACAGATGCCCTACACTGCTGCTCCCCAGGGGAAGGCCTGTCTTATACACTGTAATTTCGGTGCTACGTGCTCGCTGTGGATAAATAATGTGAAGGTCAAGTCTGTTAAGTGCATATAGATCTGGTTATGTAATTTCTTGGCTCAAAACCTTCTCATAGCTCCCTGCGTCACTCATAGAGGGCGTAAGTCCTTACAATGATCTTTGAGGACAACATGAGCTGCCCCTGGCATTTCTGCACCGCACCTAAATGGCTTTGCTCCAAAGAGCTGGAGTGGGAACAGAGGCACAGCCCCTGGAGCCATCCCAAAGCTCAAAAACAGGCCTCGAAGGCATCAACAGATAGATGGCAGTCCCCCAACTCTTGTCGGCCCAACAGGCTTCAGTGGGGGAAAACAAAATCCAGATGGTCGACAGCCTAGCTTTCAGTACAACCAGGACTCACCGGGTTCTCAAGAATCAGAAAACTATGTCCTGTTCCCAGGAGAAGAGTCAGTCCAGGGAAGTAGCCTCGGGTAGACAGAGGGCGAGCCCAGCAATGACACTAACACAGAATTATACCCCAGTGGAAGATCTAAAAGACCCGAGGGTGTGACAAGGAACAGGG